CGTAGCTGTAGCCCATCCCGGCTCCAGCAGCTCCCCTCTACCACATCCCGTGTCTCCACACAGAAAACTGCATTCTCCCCCTCCATCACATCCAACTTCCGTGGCAGCCGCTTCACAATCACCCCTATGGGAAGAGATATATGAGGGCCAGGTAGAGATGCTGGGGAACAGGACAGACTCTTTGAGGTGGGAGAGGAGGAGGAGGTTGAGGAGGGGCAGCTGCAGGCATCAGCCAAATGGAGGGAAGGCAAATGCAGAGGGCAGTGGGGACCCTGGCAAGGAAGGGAATAGGAAGGCAAATCTGTGCTACCAGAGACCTGACCCTACCTCGGACAGAGACCTCAGCGATGCTGCGCCCTTTGTCCTTCATTTGGCAGAGGTAGATTCCATCATCATCGGTGCGGGCATCGCGGATGGTCAGGCGCCGCACCACCCCTTGCTCCTCCATCACATACTTGTGACTGGGCTGCAGCTCCCTGTCCTCCAGGTACCAGGAGGTAGGGATGGTCTCCAATGGCACCTGGCACTCCAACACTGCATCCTCTCGCTCTGCTACTTCCACATCTGCCAGCTGCACCTGGAACCGCAGCCGGTGCTCTGCCACATGAAGAGACAGGAGCTTAGGGTGTGTGGGGTACAACACCCACTGTCAGCCCTCCGCTCAAATGGTTCCCAGCACACAAAAAGCGCCAAACCCTTGGCCCTCCTTTGCCCTCTCCACTGGCTTGTGTGAGACGGACACTGCGTCGACAAGCACATCCCCTAGAGCAGGGAGAACCAGGGCACAGCTTGGGGAGACACAGGGATGCCCCCAGTATCTCAGCAGAGAGTTTTGGGGGATGCAAGAGCATGGAAGCCAGCATGCTGCAGCAGGCATCTCAGTGGAAGGGAGCAGTGGGGTGTAGGCAAGGGCTGCACCAATTACTGGGTAACCCCGGCCACGGGCTGTCCCCAGCTGGCTGGACAGCTCGGGGGCAATTGGGCTGCTGCCAGTGCAGACTGTTGGAGCCATGCCCTGCAGGGCTGCCTGCCAAAATCACTCAGCACTTCCAGGGGAATTTGTCACCAAGGCACTGTTCCCTTTCCCCGTGTGTGGCTGGACATCCGCAGCTATCCCGAGAAGCCACCCCTCTGTTTGCAAGAAGAGAGACATGGAGCAGGACACAGCTCCTGGAGGAGCCCAGCAACCCCTGCTTCCAGCCCACAGCTCTGTCCTGTGGAGACTGGACTGACCTTGGCTGCACAGGGCAGGAAGGAGCCCAGAGATGCTGGGCTCCCACACAGACACACCCCTGACAAAATTCCTTGAGTTCCCCAGAACCCGGCCGCCTCTAACACTCCTTGGACATGTTCCTACCTTTCACCTGGAGCTGCACTGCGCTGAGGGTCTGGCCAGCGGTGTTGGAAGCAGTGCACACGTACAGCCCCTGGTCCTGGGGTTTGCAGTACAGCACCTTGAGGATGAAGTAGCCCTCCCGGTCCTCGTAGATGAGATGCCTGCGGCCAGGGGCGAGGGGCTCACCATCTTTCTGCCAGATAATCTCTGGCTTGGGCTTGCCAGTAACGTAACAGCGAAACTTGGCGTGCTTCCCTGCGCTCACCGCAAATGCCTTGGCTCCCGGCACCCTGGCCGGCACTACGCCATTGGGCACCCAGGTCTCTGGTCCCACTCGCCGTCCTGCTGCGTGCCGCCGCCACCGCTGCCGCTCCGCCAGTACCTCGGCACCATCAGCAGGGGAGCCATTGGGGAGCCCGTCCAGCAGTGCCTGGGCTTCGACCAGGAGCACGGCAGCAGCCAGGGCCTCCTGGGAGCCACTGCGAGCCCGGCAGACATACACTCCCCCATCCTGGGGCCGGGCACTGAACAACTTCAGGAAATGCCAGTCCTCTGGTTTCTGCCCCACTGCAAAGTGGCTGCTCTCAAAGAGGTCGGAGAGCTTGTGCCCATCCTTCTCCCACTCCAGCACCGGGCAGGGCTGTCCAGACACCCTGCAGGTGAACATCACGTCCTCCCCCCGGCACACCCGCATGGACGAGGGGGCAATGAGGAAGGCAGGTGCCACACTGCCTGAGCACCCTTCCTCCTCTCGGGGCTCTGCTGGCTCTACCCTGAGCGTAGTGGCAGCATAAGTCTCGCCAACACTATTCTTGGCCCTGCAGACGTAGAGTCCACTGTCCCCGGGAGTGGCACAGGACACCAGCAGGCTGTACAGGTCCCCTTTGGATTCCATATGGAAACGACCTGAGGGCTCGATGTTATTCTTGTCCTTTTCCCAGAGGATGCTTGGCTGTGGATCACCCGTGATCTGGCAGCTCAGGACCACATTGGTGCCACTTTGGACCGTGAAGGCACGTGGATAGGCCAGGAACCTGGGGGCTCCCCCAAACCCCTCCATCACCAACTCCCCAGGGTTACAGCAGGCAGCTGGCTGGAGCAGCAGTAGGGATCATCAGCCTGGGTGGGATGTACAAACAGACTAGAGTGAGGGCTCAGGCTTCAAAGAGATGGACCAGTGTGGAGACCCCAACCTGGAGGGACCCATACCCAGAGCAAAATCCCCAGCATGGACCCCCTGCTTCAGAAGCATCACCCTCATTTGGAGCAGAACAGTCCCACTGGATTTACCCCTGTCTCACCCAAATCATCCATTTTCCAGCTCAAAGCAATAGGAGAGGTGACAAAAGGTGGTTCTTTGCTCCCCGGAGGGCTGAGACACTTGCAGCCTATCCCAGGCTGCAGAGGGAACTCCAGTTCCAGAGGTGGGGACCCCTGCCTAGACAGGGAGCTTGGGAAGCTGCTTGCTGGTTGCTGGGGCTGGGGGACAGCGGAGGCAAAGGGGCCCCCACCCGCCCCTTCCCCACCCGCCGGGCATTCACATTCCTACAGTATCGGGTGGTGGCAGAGCCGCATTCCTGCAGCATCTGGGCCGGCTCAGCGGGCAGGTGCTGACACGGGGTTGTCACAGGCGCGAGGCCCCGGCTGGACCCGGACTGGGACTTCCTCCCAGACTTGGGTGGGCAGGGGACCCCCTGTGCCTGGCGGCCACCCCCAGGGCCGTGTCCTGGGACAAAGGGGGGTCCTGGGGAAGGAGTCCCCCTTCAGAGAGCAGTCCCACAGGCAGAATCCTGCCCTTGTGCACTCAAAACTACAGCTGGAAATCATCAGCCTCAGGGGCAAAATGAAAGCCAGGGAGGTGGGTCATGCTTTTGGAGGATCCCCGGCTTTGTGGGTAACCGTGCCCACCATCAGGAGCAGGAGCAGGGCAGGGTGCTCTGTGCCTCCTCCCAGTGAGTGCATTCCAGCCTCTGCCCTCACCATGGCTGGGACTGGGGCAGGGTCGTCTCTGACTTGCTAAGGCAGGGGGAGGGGAAACAAAAATACTTCTTGAATGAGCCAGAGAGTAGGAGAGGGCTGGTCCCCAAGGAGCGACAGGGACTGCAGCTCCTTGGGAACTTTTTCTCCCAGAGCCCTACCCCTGGGACAGTGCGCTCATTCAGAGCCATCTCCCCATCCACACACGCCCCTGACCCGTGGGCCACCCCACAGCAGCTCCTTTGGACACAAACAGACAGCTCTGATGGCTTGGCGGCCCCACTGCACCCTTCAACCATTCCCTTCCCCAACCACCGTGCCCCAGGCAGCCCCCCAGCCCAGAGCCCTGCCCCACTCATGTACCTCGCTCTGCCACCTCTCCCCTGTGTCTCTCAGTGCCGGCACCCAACTCCTGCTGCTTCCCCCAGCTCTCCTCCTGGGTGTCAGCGCGCAGAGACCAAATGTTACAAATGCCTGCAGCTGCTGTCCCCAAAAATACCCTCTGATGACACGCGGGGTTGATAAGAGTGAGCCTGCTCCATTCAGCGCCTCTCCTACCTATGTATAGCAGCCCAGCAGGAGCCACCCCAGAGAGCTGGGGTGCTGCAGGCCTGGCTGTGCTTCTGTGCTGGCTCAGCAGCAGCGAGACACAACATGCCCTGTGGAGAGCGTGGGGTGCAGGGTGCAGGGTGTGCAGTACACTGAGCTGGACACCAGACTGCAGTGGCACAGGACGTGTCACACAGGACATGCTGCATAGGGGGGCATGTACTGCACTGGATGCTGCATGCAATGCCAGGCTGTATTGGATGGGATGTGCAGGACACTGAGCTGCCAGAGGCACAAAGGGGATGCACAGGCTACCCATCATCCACAGGGCAGGCAGGGTTAATGGATAAGGAGCACCTGGTACTGTCCCCTCAGGCAGCAGTGAGAGGAAGGGCACTGGGTCTCCTTATAGCGTATGCCTCTCCTGCAACTCCCATTCTGTGAGCCAGCCCATGCCTAGACAACCAGAGCAGCACCCTAGGATCCTTCCCCTGGACCTGCTGCAGGGTGTCCAGCTGGCTCTGGCTAATCTGTTCTTCTCCTCCTGAAGCTGGGCCCCAGGTAGAGCAAGAACCTTTTGCCATCCCTCCTGCTTCATGTCCCCCGGACCCTGCCAATCACCAGATTGTCATGGAGATGCCACAACGAATCCCACCCCTCAGCTTGCCCTTTCCAAGGCCCCATCCTCACATTCTGGCTGCCCAGGGGACTGCCACCTGCAAAGTGCCTGCCCCATGCCAGAGCCTCACAGGACTCTGATCTCCGCCAGGTCCTTGCCCAGATTTCTCTGCTGTGCGTAACTGCTGTCACTTTCCACTAGCTCCCCAGAAGCCCTAGATCTTTAACTCCTCTGCCATGGGGTACACACAGGATCAGCAGTTGCAAAGCTCACCCAAGGTGCCCCCTCCATCCCTGCCAGCTTTGGTTCCTGGCACCACCCTGCCCACTCGGCCTCCCCAGCCCCACGCACCGACTGGTCCCGGCACCATCCCCCCCACACACCCCCTTGCCCGGGCGCCGGCCCCCCCAGACCACACTGTCCTTGCAGTCCTCGCATTCCAGACGTCTCAGCGCTTTCACAGCTCAGAGATAATATTCACGGCGAGCAGACGTTTGCGTCAGTGTCAGATAGATCTCAATGCCACCCTGCCCCGGGGGGAGTGCAGTGGGCAGACGGGCTGGGCAGGCAGGCAGAAGCCCGCGGCAGAGCCCCCCGAGCCACCACCCTGCTGTGTGCCCCATGGTCATGCTGCTGCTCCTGCACCTGCTGCCTGCCATGCTGCCCACCGCCGCCCTGGCCAGCTGCACCGGGGCGGGTGCCGACCGGCAGCTCATCCTGGCCAAGGTGCGGGCTCGGGTGCTGGAACATCTGAGTCCTCCCCTGCTCCAGGAGGAGCCACAGATGGAAGCAAGGAGGGTGCACCGGAGAGACGTCCTTGAAAACACAGAAGTGGAGCCAGAGGAGCTGGAAGAAACCTCTCAGGTGATCTTATTCCCTGCCACAGGTGAGAACATCCTGATGAAATGGAGAGGGCAGAAGGGTGAAGCAGGGTGGGGTTTGGAGCCATGCAGATGTTGAAGGATGGAGAGGCTGATGTGGTGGTCTGTGGGAGAAGGGGAAGAAGGTATGCCAGGCTGGAACAAGGGCATGGGTGAGATTTGGTGGAGAGCCAAGAGAGGGAAAAGTATGGCAGGCAGGGACAGGCATAGCAGCTCAGGATAGACAGCAGGGGGACAGGCAGCACAAGAGGGTGCTGAGAGGCTGGGAAACAGCTGACCAGGCAGGATGCAGAGACATGGGGAGGGCTGAGGAGCAGGGTGGAATAGGGTGGGATGCTAGGGAATGGGGCAAGATACTGGAAGGTGGTTTGGGATACTAAGGGACAGGGCAGGATGCTGAAGGATGGGGCACGATGATCAGCTATAAAGCATGACAGCAGGAGATGGGGCAGAATGCTGGGGGATGGGATAGGATGTGCATGCTGGAGGAAAAGGGGCATGATGACCAGCTATGGGACAGGGAGATGGGAGATGGTCAGGATGCAGAGGATGGGAGAAGGGGACAGGATGACCAGCTAAGGGGCTGAATGCTGGGGGACAGGGCATGATATGGACTCTGGGGGAAAGGGACAAGATAACCAGCTATGAGTCTGAATGCTGGGGGACAGAAATGGACCAGCCTAAGGCATAGAAGGGATCGGCTGTGGGGCACAGCATATAAGCTGTTGCACAGCACAAGACAGCTCCTCTGCACCCTATGCTAGCATCCAGGTGCCGTGCCAGCACTCCAGGGACCTCTACAATATCCCACTTTTCCATCTGGCATTGGGAATTCTCCCTATGTTTGGGTACATACCCTGATCATCTTTTCTTCCCCACAGATGTTCCCTGCGAGCCCACACAGCCAGACAAGCTGCTGGAGGAAGAAGGGATTTTCACTTACCTCTTCCAACCCTCAGCACACACCCTGAGCCGTGTGGTGACCTCTGCTCAGCTCTGGTTTTACACTGGCCCCTCGGCTGCCCCCAACCACTCAACCCCTGACGTGCTGACCCTGTCACCTCAGGGCCGGGTGCCGGTGACAGCCATGGCAGAGCGGACACCCGAGCACTGGACTGTGTTTCACTTGGCCCCGGTGCTGCTGCCCCAGCTCTCACAGCCGCTCTTTGTGCTCCTGGTGCGCTGCCCTGGCTGCCCCTGCCTGGCAGAGGGGGACAAGATGCCCTTCCTGGTGGCCACCACCCGGGCCAAGGGCAGCGAGAGGGCTCGTCGCTCTGCCATGCCCTGGTCCCCAGCCGCCCTGAGCCTGCTGCAGCGTCCATCCGAGGAGCTGGCTGCCCACACCAACTGCCGCCGGGCTTCCCTCAACATCTCCTTCGAGGAGCTGGGCTGGGACAAGTGGATCGTGCATCCCAGCAGCTTTGTTTTCCACTACTGCCACGGCAGCTGTGCTGCAGGCCACGGGCTGAGCCACCGGCTGGGTGTGCAGCTCTGCTGTGCTGCCCTGCCCGGCACCATGCGCTCCCTGCGCGTCCGCACCACCTCCGACGGCGGGTACTCCTTCAAGTACGAGACCGTGCCCAACATCCTGGCCCAGGACTGCACCTGTGTCTAGGGCATCCTGCAGCCCAGCCCCAGACCGTGATCCCACCCAGGAGGAGTTGCTTTCCCAGTGGAACCCTGGCCACTGGGATGGGGCAGTTTGGCTGTACCATCCTCCCCTGCACAAGCCAGATTTTTGGGCCGGCCCAGGTACCATCACACTGCCAGACTTGCTTGATTTGCACAGCTCAGAGCAAATCAGGGCATGGCGGGACAGGGATAGGCACAGCCTGTGGCAAAGGCATCACTGCCCTGCCAAAGCCAGGCTGCTGTCCGCAATCAGATTAGCCCTCATCTCTCCCCACCTGCTTCCCTCCTGCACTTCTGTGCCCCCACAGATTGGTGTCTGGCTCCTACTGCAGAGTTCAACAGCTCCCCCTGTGCTCCAGGCAGAGCCAGGCCGCTGCAACAGGATCAGGATGAGCCTGGGTGAGCCGATGCCGGGACCTCACACTGGTGGAAGGGCTGGCAGCACACGTGGCACCACAAGTGAGCCCTCTCCCAGCAGCACAGCTTGTTGGAAAGCTTAATGGGATGAGTGAAATAAACCTGTTGCCTTTCCTAAAGCAGCCTGGAAACGCCAGCTTCCATCTGAGGCAGCCACGGAGGTGGCATGCAGTTGTGCAATGGGATATGACCTCCCCAGGTGCTTCCAGATGGAGAAGCGAGGGGATGGGCAAATACTGTTAGAGGCATCCAGCTCTGATTTGGGGTACCAGAGAGGGGACTGGAGTATGCTGGCCAAAATGGGCATGGTGTGGCTGGGTTTGATCCTGCCCCAGGTAGTGGGAGTGCAGAGCAGAGCAACGCCCCTTTTGCTCCGGACAACAGATTCTGCAGGAATAGGGGCAGCAGAGGGCTGGGGAAACATGGGGATGGTGGGAGGATGGGAAGGCAGAGGAAAACCCCTCACCTGGCCCCTTGACAGTGACAGGGCCAAATAGGAATGTGGCCAGTGCAATCCCTCTCCAGCAGGATGATGAAGGCTGCCCCGGCCGCAGCCGCCTCCGCACGGCAGGAACAACTGAGTCACCCTGGGCAGCAGAGAGGTCCCAAGGCACGAACAGCAGCGCCAGCCCAGACGCACAGGATTCCCTTCCCACCCCTTCCTCCCGAATGAGCGGATGCAGCAGTTCAGTACAAAACGTCTTCAGCCTTTACTAATATAGATATTAAAAAAAAAAAAAAAAAAGAAAACAGAGTGACAATCATTTCCGAGTAAAAAACAACGCTACAAAAGTCCCCATGTGACCCAGGCTGAGATGATGAGGAATGCTCCACTGGCTCCCGGCCGAGCCCAGCTCGGGGCACCACGTCCCCACGCTGTGAGGCCAGGGTCGGGCTCCGTGCAGGGGGTCCCAGCCCTGCAGCCAGAGTGGGAGGAGACAAATTTTGGTCCAAGGGCGGCCTGCCAGGACAGGGCGGAGGCAGTGGGAACGACAGCCCCTGACCTCTGCACAGATATTTCCAAGCAGGCCAGCTCCGCAACTCATAGCCCCATGCCAGGATGCTGTGCAACATGGCCCCCCCAAGACACAGGGTCACTTTCTGGCAGCACAGTGCTACCAGGACCCTTCCTACCCCCTCCAAGAGTAATGCCAGCCCAGCACTTAGTCCCACAGCTTGGCCTGGCCAGCCAGACTCCCAGCCTGCTCCCCTAAGTCCCCCATGCCTCAGGGGACAGTACCAAAATCACCAGCACATGCACAGCACCAGCTGGTGCTGCCGTGGTGGCAGAGTGCATGGAGGGCACAGGAAGGGGTGAGGACAACTTGCTGGGGAAAATGGGTGCGGGAAGAGGGAAAAGTGGGTGAAATAGGAAATGGGGGGGGCATATGAGAGTGGAGATTGGGATGGAGTATAAAAATGCCAGGGTGCACATGTTGATGAGTTTATAAAAACGTACAAAAATAAGATATTCCCTTTTTGAAAATTAAGTAGGAATGAACCCCACGGCCCCCGATCCCTCTGCTGCCCACCGAGACAGTGCTGCCCAGACTGCCCTGCTGGGCAGGTGTGTGGCATCCTTCGCCCTGTGCTCCTGGCAGGACGCCTATCCCACGGTGGCGGTGGCAGCCGCTCTGGCAGACACCGCTGCTGTTCCTGGCGGCACTCACAGCCCTGTGGGGAGCAAAAAGCAGGTTAGCACCCACTCCAGGGGGAATGGCATCTTCTCTCCAGGGGAGCCTAGGGGCAGTCCCCATGCCTCCACCCCAGTGGGCTGGATCCATCCCCAGTCCCGGCTCACCCGTGGTCCTGTCGCAGGCGGCGGTCCCCTTCTCATGGGCGAGGTTGAGGCGGTTCTGCTCGGCGGCGATGCCGTTGGCCTCGGGACTGCTGCTGCGGGCAGGACTGGGGGGCCGCGGCGGGGGCTGGAGGTGGAAGGCCACCTCCAGGTGTTCTTGGGCCAGACGCAGGTGCTCACGCAGCCGGTCCAGCTCGTGCACTGGGGGAGCTCCAGCCAGGGCGAAGCGTCCCTGGGCCAGGCTCTCCCGGTAGTCCAGCTTGCCGTTGGTCAGCGGGGCTTGTGGCAGCTCCTTCTTCAGCGAGTGATAGGTGGGGGGGGCGCTGGGGGCTTTCTTGGGGTATTGTGGTGCAGGGCTGTCGCCAGTGGGGAGTGGAGGGCCATCAGCCTGGCTCAGGGCATCACGGATGCGCCCCACACCAAGGTGCAAGAGCTCACAGAGGTTGAGGAAGAGGCAGAGCCCGCTGACGGCATACATGATGAGGAGAAAGATGGTCTTCTCAGTGGGGCGGGACACAAAGCAGTCGACAGTGTGCGGGCAGGGGCTGCGGCTGCAGACGTAGGAGGGGCTCACCTCGAAGCGGTACAGCAGGTACTGCCCGAAGAGGAAAACCATCTCCAGCACTGAGCGGCACAGCAAGTGCAGGACATAGGCCCGCATCAGCCCGTCCTGCTTGATACGGCGCCGGCCATCATGCTTGTCTCCGCCCTCTGGGCTCTTCTCCTTCTCCACCTCGATCTCCTCAAAGATCATGGGGTCTTCTTCATTGTCATCTTCTGCCTCCTCGTAGTCTCGCCCGGCTCCCCGGCGCACCACGGGCATGCGTGCTCGCCGGGCTGCTGGCGTCCGGCGCCGTGAGGACTCGGGCATGCGAGCGATGCGGTGCATGGCAAAGCCCAGGTAGAGCACCGATGGCGTCGCCACCATGATGATCTGGAAGATCCAGAAGCGGACGTGAGACAGGGGAGCAAAGGCGTCGTAGCAGACGTTCTCACAGCCTGGCTGCTGCGTGTTGCAGACAAACTTGCTCTGCTCGTCGTAGTAGATGGACTCTCCCCCCACGGCCGTCAGCACGATGCGGAAGACAATGAGGACAGTCAGCCAGATCTTGCCCACGAAGGTCGAGTGGTTGTTGATCTCCTCCAGGAGCCGCGTCAGGAAACTCCAGCTCATCCTGACCAGGCAGTTGACTCAAATCCTGCAAGGAAGGGGCAGGCACTGAGCAAACACACAAGCATCTCACCACGATCCTGAAGTCCACTAGCTGCTAGCCCAGCTCTGTCCCGCTCCCTATTCCAGTACCAGTGTCCCTTCCCTTATGCACAGATCCATAAACACAGTCCTGCTCAGGTAGCTGCCTCCCCAAAACTTTACCCCCTGTTCAGCACTGCCTCCCTCTGCTCCTGCCTGCATCCTGCTCCTGCCCTGCTGCAAGCAGGTGGGTGGAGGCGATGGGGAAAGGCTGGGACATCCTGGTTGCCTGCAGGGACACATCTAGGGGAAAAGTGAGCACAGTCACAACCAGAGCAAACATGCCAGCTAAGGGCAGCACCAGCTGGAGACTGTGAGAGGACAGGCAGGAGCAGAATCACTTCCTTCTTCCCTGGTGCCATAGCACCCATTTATCACCTGGCACAGGACAGGTCCCCAACCAGCATTGCACCCTGTGAAAGCACTCACACCCTCCCACGGGGGTCCACTGGTCACTGGAGGAAGGCAGCGCATGGCAGCTCCACTAGCCCACTGCAGCTGCCAGCCCTGAGCCCTGGCTGAGAGGGGGGCAGGTCCCCAAAGCAGCATCCCCCACCACATGCTAATCAGCCACGTCCTCTTCACTCCACAGAGCTCTCCTCTGAGGGCAAGTAGAGATGAAGCATCACTCTCACCAAACCTCAGTGCTGTGCCCTCTCTCCTGCAAGACCCCAGCCTCCAAAGCCTGCAGTGGGTAGTGCTCACACCACCCTGCAGCTCTATAGCAAGGGCTGTTTGCGGGATGGAACAGGGGTCAGGACAGTGATAGCAAGGGGCAGAATGGGACAGCCAAGGAATTGCACAAAGCCTGGGCAAAACAGCTGACACCAGAGACTGGGGAGGAAATTACAAGGACCATGTCACATCTCCCAGCCAAAGATACAAGACACCCACACCACCCACTGCCACCCCTGGTTTCAGCAGCTGGTGCATGAGATGATGCAAGCCAGGGCAGCAGGTGGCAGGGATGGCCCAGGGCGAGCAGAGAGTATGTGTCCGCACTGAACCCCTAGCGGCCCTTGCCAGCCCCATACCATCACCTCTGGCCAGGGCATGTCCTTGCAGACGATGATTGATGCTGCACTTATTCCACTACTGTGCAGAATAAGAGATCTTTTACACTAAGCTCACCCAGCCTCCTGACCAACCTCACCTAAGAGTCCCTCCAGCACAAGCATCCATGCTGGGGACGTACTCTTTCTGCAGGAAGTGGCACAGACTGGCACCAGGGACCCAAATTCAGCCCATGAGGGCCACCATCCTCCTGTGGTCATATTCCCTGCAACGTTTCACTGCTGCCCCGCCTCCCAGGTGTGAGCCCTGATCCCCCACTTCCCTGGAAGGTGGATGCTTTGTGTCTACCTTTACCGTGTTTCTAGCAGCACACCACCCTGGCACCAGGCTGAAGAACAAAGTGAGAGGACCAGGCAGGAGGGCAGTTCCAGGAACTAAAGCCCAAGCTATGTCAAACAACACCACATACCAAGCCCAAGAAAAGCAAAAACATAGGATGGCA